CTTGCGAACGGCCACAAGTATAAGACAATCACCTGTATTAACGGACACCAGTATAAGCCCACAATCACCTGTACAAGCGACCACCAGTATAAGACAATCACTTATACTAACGACCACCAATATAAGACAATCACCTTGCGAACGGCCACAAGTATAAGACAATCACCTGTACCAACGGTCACCAGTACAAGACAATCACCTGTACAAACAACTACTTCCCATTCCCTCCCTTACGTATCTTTTACATTATGAAAAAATGTAAGACAACAACATGTCTAAGACGACCACTTTCTCCTTGATGATAGGGGCCGTCTTGGACAATTTTGAATGTAAATGTATATAAATGATGAAAATAATGACCGGTGTATTAACATCAACTGAAAGTCATTGGCATACTATATTTACACTCTACTGGAATGGAGTAATAAATCTTGAGGGAAAAAGTGACACATGTGTTTCCAGTTGCCAAATAATAGATGTATAGATTGATTCTCTATTCTGCTTTCGTGGTTGTAAACTCAAGAATTTCAAAGGTGTGGAAACAGTGCGCGCGGCTAGTGAACGGAACCGTCACTTGTTTACATTGGCGTCTTAGAAGACGAACTTTCCCAAGATTAGATCTAAACGAAACAAATGAAAAACTGAAAATTAAACTACAGTGACTTCAGACTCATCAATAAAACTGTGCACCCTTTGAATGATTCTGAACCACTACTAATTTTTTTCAAATTCGAAAGTTAAGTGGTTTTGAAGTTTTAGACTGCCAAAGTGACGGACTTTCACAAATATATGTATAGATGCCCCCATGACACATTCAACGTGTGTACAGATACCATAGATTTGTACTCGTAAATCAAATAATGCCATGGTTGACGTTCTACCTTGCTGTCTATAGAAACTTCGCTGCGGAATAATCACACCACAGACCTTACCATTACACACAAATAAAAGGCAAAAACACCAGTCTCAATGCAGTCGAAAACAATCGACATCTTCCCCATTTTTAGTTTTAGTATTTAAGTTTGAGTAGAGGTTTTACAGCGCTCGCCACTGCATAAGGTCATATAAGCGCCAGAAGATTAGAGGTGTTACAAGAGAGTTGTAACAAACATAAAAAAGAAGAAGGGGAGATAAGGACGATAGATGTTTGATAGGAAAGAAGAAGCAAACCACACCAGAGCACCCTCCAACAACCCACTTTCTTCCCCCGTTGCCTTTCATTTAGATCAAACTGATTCTCACAGTGCACTCCATAGCAAACAGGAAATACGTCATAGCTGACAATTCACGATATCATAATACAATACACATGTTCGTAATTCTATAATGTTGTCTTAGATCTAGTCCAGCGCTGCCTGCCTGTCTGTCTGCGCACCGCCGCGCACAATATAGCACCTGCCTGAACTTGACACCCGTGGCGGGCCTAGCGCAGACGACATTGGCAGCAACTTTCACGGTCATGAAGACAGCCTCGGCACGAGATAAGATTGGCTCTGTTCCAGAAGCAAGTCGTCCGTTCACCGACGCATGAAGTTCATGCATTCCACCGAGCAAAAAGTTCCAATAAATCTAGTCAACTTTTTTTCCTTCTTTTTTAAAGAACTTTTTGGGGGTGCGTGCCAGTTTCTATATTTTGAATCTAGATGGGAGAGAGAAAGAATGTGTAAAGAAGTTGGGGATTGAAGGAACAATATAAGAAAGGATACAAGAAAGGACAGAAAAATTAAATAGCGAGAGAGGGTGTGGTGAAGGAGTGGTGGGAAACAGAATGAGAGAGAATGGGAGAGAAAGAGAGAGGAACACACACAGAGGAAACACACACACACACACACACTCAAACACACACACACACACACACACACACACACACACACACACACACGCACACACACACACACACGCACATACACACCTCAAAGTCAAGGGCCTTCACGAATTA